ATTAGTCCTTAGGGATATTTTGACTTGGAAAGCCCTAGTCTCGCTCATTGTGTGCATGAGACATATTTTGTGCTGACGAGATCCTAGTAATGTATCATTCTAGTGAGAGTGTTGTGACGAGATGACCTGACATATACTCCTAGACTACTTAGCCTTTGAGTAGGGAAAAATGTTTTTACTAACGTTACATACATATAAATTAGGAGACTCTAGTCTGCACAATCATAACATTTTGCTTGTGTTTACACTGTATTTTGATTGATATTGTGATAAAATGAGATATAAACTAAGTTGAAATTATTGTATGGAGTGATGAGGAGTTTAATTATTGGTTTTATATATAATGTTTGTGTGTGACTATCCGGTCTTATTTTATATTGGTAGTTAGAGTGAGATATGTTCTCACTCTCCTATTTTTTCTCGTACGTAGATTATTATATGTGATTGTAGGCGCTTCCTTTTTAGTGGAGTCTAGTTGAATGAAAGGAGAATTCTAATACTTGTGATATCGGGGATATTAAATTATGGTTCATGTTTTATGATTTAGAAATTATAGTTTACTTTTCTTCGAACATACTTTCCTTAAAGTTTGTAATAGCTAGACGCGGGTTTATTTTATTTGAATTTCGAATATGATAATCTTTATCTTGTTTGAAGTTATTCAAGTACTATATTATTTTTATAATTATTATATTATATATGCGGAATTGAGAGTGTTACAAAATATGAATATCCAACTTAACCCATTATTTCAAATTCAAATTTTTTAATATATAATCGTGTTGAATATTCAAATGAAGAGTTTTGTTCCTATTAGGCTTGAACAAAATTTTCTCTAATAAAAATACATGTAGTGTATATCAGTAAAATAAATATGCATATTCATTAAATTCTTAAAATAAATGCATGAAGAATAAAGTTAATTGAAATAAGAATTTAGTGCAAATACTGAAAGTCAAACAGCAATAGGGTAAGAGGGACATGAAGAAGAATCTGATAGTCGGCAACTTTGTTTAGCAGTACAGCATCTCATTATGTTAGACGGAAAGCAAACCATGCTTCTGTTTAGGGATTCCATCAATCATACGGCTAAAAATAATAGTCTCACCTAATCATTCTGATTCAATATTCTTCATTCTAAAAATAACAGCCTCACCTATATATATTCAAATCAATCAAATTCAATATTTTAGTTCAGATATTAGTTCCGTGATTTGAAACTCCACTTGAAATATTTATATATCAACTTGAACCCCTTCCTAATTTTATTTTGCATGCCCAATAGATGTCATTTTTAGTTAACAGTAATGGTTATCTAAACCATACAACTTGTAGTGTTTGATCTTATTGTGTTCTCTTTGTTTCTGTCCTTGTTGTTACAACCGAGATGCATTATTTTTTGGTCTCGTGTTTTATTCTGATTTATTTCTGAAACGCATCAAACATAAAATAGAACTCATGTTTTGTTTTGTTCCATTCTAACATGTTCACCAAACCGCTACTAAACTTTCTTTTCAAATTTTTACACCATTTAATTAACATTCAGAATAACTATTTAAAAGTCATATCAAAGATTTATTCTGATTGATTAATGGTTTTTTATTTTTACTTTGATAATGATTGTGTAGCAAACTTACTTTAAAGTCAAACTTTTTTTTTTTTGTTTTACAGAATTTTATCAAAATCTTGAGGGTCTAGTAAGAGACAGGCCACAGACACTACATTTGACAGGTGCCGAATATATTCTCATTTCTATTGATCACCTTATTTTTCTATATATGTTTGTTTTCATACTATTGTTAATTGTTTAGTCACTGTTCTTTCACCTTTCAGTGTCCTTCTCCTGAGCTGTTTTCATGATTTACAATTTATACTTTGAAGAAGTAATTAATATATTAATTCTTCTTCTATTGCTAAAGTTTCAATGCCAAATGTATGCTAAATAAACTAATCTTTCTGAACCTTTTCAGCACAGGAAAGAGTCAATTTATTCCCTTGCCTGTAGAAGCATTTTCAATTAAAAGGAAGAGATGGTGTTGCGGTAAAATGGTTCGTGTAACATGTTGCTTCTGAGAGAAAAAGTGGAGGCTTAGAATGCTTGAGTTAGAAGAAACGGGTAGTCCAAAAACAAGATTCGTAATTAATTGTTGCACATGCCGCATTTAATACAACTAGGCTCTTTTTCTTTATTTGTTGAGCCATCAGTGGCGACTATAGTTGTCAGAGTTTTGTTTTTTCCAAGCTTATGGAGAGATCATAACAAGTACATGCAAGAATGCTATGCAGTTGCTTGTCCTGTACTGAGTCCAGATTGGTTTTGGTATGAGTCATTTTCAGTCAAAAACTTGTTTCCTCCAATTCTTTTCCTCTCTCAAGAGGGTGAGGAATTTGTTCTAGTATAAGGAAAGAAATATCAAGATATATATTATACAACAAGATCCGAAAAAAGAAAGTAGGGTTGCTTCTTGCTTACCTAAACTTATCTTTAAGCCACATATATGATACCTTGCTGCATAACCAGATGATATCAATTTGAATACTTTAGATAGCAGAACTACAATGAAACTAAACAATGTTGAATTCACAAATCACCGCATACATGATTTTTTCTTTGGATAGGATTGATATTTATAGTAGTAATGGAACCAAAAGTTGATTTGATTCACACTTTTACCTCAGTTATGCTAGAGATGAATACTTGCTTTGCTTACACACATGCACACCAAGATTGGAATATTGCAATGGTAAACAAGTTTCGACATTGCCAATCACATTTCCATAAAAATAAAAGGAGAAAATGGACAAATATGTATCGGTTTCAACTTTCATGATTCCAATAAAGAATTGGTTCTGATATATGTAACTTAGTATGTGTCTGGTAACACATCTAATGCCACTAAATGTGGATTTACAGGAGCAAAGCAACTATTAGTTGTTTTTCTATAAAATAATTATGTTATTTTTGTTTGGATGTGGATCCTAGACACAAAGTCGATCAAGGCAATCATGCCCATAGACAAAGTTGTCCAATAAATATATATAAACCGAACTAAAAAGGTGGATTTCAAGTTCTGATACCATGTTAAATTTCATCTTAAAATCATTTGATATTAAGCAAAGTTGTCCAATAGATATATAAATCACATATGGAGAATTGAGGCATGCAATGTTGGACTTCTCTAACATTTTCTACTCAGATTTATAATTATACACTCAAAATCAATTTTGATAACAAGTTTTCAAACAACATTCAATATAAAAATGAAGTTCATATCCTTTGTCATCTAAACGAAAATCACGTTACTTTTTGACACAAGTTTACTCAAGATCAATTCTAGAAATTCAAGTTGATTCTAAATCAATTATATCAACTCATTTTCAAACACATACTTAATGGTCATATTGGTGTCATCATTATTACTGAAGCAAATAAAAGGAATGAAAAGAAAATGAAAACAGAGATAATATTCTGTTAGACAATGAAACAAAAACAATTGCCCCACAAATAAAGGGTTATCCAAGAAAGTATCCCTCCTGTAGTCTTATGAGAATCCATCTCAACTTCCTTCATTCATAGCAACCCCCCACGAAAGGAAGTTTGCATACTTACTCAAATTAAAGAAAGCCTATCACAGTTAAATTTTTTTCACAACTTTTTGTGGCATCCTGATTTCTTGCCATTGTTAGCGCACGTTCTCACGTGGGAATCCTGTGAACACAATAGCAACCTCACGTAGGCCATGCACTAGACAGAAGTCAAACTTTAACGCCTTTGAGATACTGCATTAAAGTCTTATCAGTTTTGTCCATAGCTCTGAAATTGACCTTTGAACTATTTAATCGTTTGGTCCATTTGGAACCGAAAATATTTTACCACTATTATTTGTGTCCATCAATCTTCTTTCCTTTGATGTTAAACTGTTAAATGACGCACATATGCTTCGAAGTGTTGGTGATGCTGATAACTGTGGTCCTTCTAGAGCATGAGTGACTGGACCAAATGGACCATTCTGTTTCTAGCTGTTGCATCATTACATATTATCATTTCAATTTGGACCACAAGATTTCTCCAATTGATTACTCTATGTTGCTTAAGAGGAGATAAGGCATGTCTAATAATCTTAGTCATTCTAATCTTGAATTGATGGTTTTTGCATCTTTCTCATTATATTGATACTATGGTTTTTTTTAGTTGAAATTTGATAATGCACAACAAAATTTGGGTAGGTGGATGGAAGCCGCAAAAAACCAAAAAAGGTTTAGAGGAAATAAAAATAACTCTGTTATAGATTTAAGATATTAATGGTCGAGAACTCGGGATTTTTTTTGGGTACAGTTAGTAGACTTTTTTGGTACAGTAGAGAACTCGGGATTAACAGTTATGTTGTACACTTGTACTGTATTTCTTGATTTTTTAGTATTTTATCATTTATGCATAGTAGACGACAAAAGTGACACTAGATTTAATATTGCTGATTTATATGAGAAATAAAGGTTAACATTCCAAAGCATGCCAGAATGTTACCGTAAGTCTTAATTTTCCATGAATGTGACTTTTATGATTATTAAAATCAGTATCACAAATTGATACTCAAATGCTTTATCACTTGCCGAAATTACTCAATCCTGAAAGGATTTACGAGAACTATTTTCTTATTTTTAACGGTACATTAGTACAACAAGCTTATAGTAGTTGACAATTACTTAATTTTTTTAAAAATGGTAATGAACAATTCAATGTAAGTCCCGTTTAACATAAGCAGCTACATTCAAATTCAGTTATCTTCCATTAAGAGTCAACTTTGGTTTATATATACCAGTAATGTCACAATGCAATTTTCTACCATTAATATCACAAGGAAACCAATTCTAAAAAAAATAAACATGTCTCTCACCTTTGTTGTTCTAGAGATTTTGCACAAACATGGTACGAATGAAACTAATGTGCTATTTCATTCCTCATACAAACCACTTGCTTATATGTATTTAAAATACAAACATGCATTCAAAGAAAAGCTTAAAGTAAGAATTCAGAATCAAGTCTCTTCTTAAAGCTCATAGTTTGCACTTCAGTCTTTCAGATAGTACAACTTAGAACTACTAATTATGAATGTTCCTCCAAAAATTAACATGATTATAGCCCAAAACAAAGAGATACTGATTATAAATTGCCGTAAAAACACCTTATAAATTGAAAATGTGCTTTTCATCTTCACACCAAAGCACTTGTGTTATCCGTATATCAATTAGCAATTATCTGTGTATTAGTACACACATTCATCTGATGAAGGTGACAATGAACAACAAGCTGTTGGCTTATTGAAATAGAACATTCCAGTGATTGTCGTGGCAAAGCAACTACTTATCTTCTAATGTATATCGCTTTTGATAACTTGTCCTAAGAGGTGTTGCATAGACATTCTTCCACATATTGGCAGAAGGATAGGAACCAGAACTGCATCTAGTAACTCCATTTAGTGACACACAATCATCCATGAAGATTCTCTTTGAATTCTGAGAAAAACACCTATAGGGTTTCAGTTTAGCTTTGGTTGATGCTGTCAGATTCATGTAGCTTGGTTTAAAAACATTTCTTTCTTCTGTTGCTTCCACCATAACATTGTTGGTAGATGGTAGAGGTGGTGATTCAGATGTGCATGAAGTTGACATAGGGCTATCATCATACATGCATTCCGAGCTTATGGCTGAAGATGATGGAGTTGATTGACTAGTTGCAAGAGATTTAGATGAAATTCTGGTTGTCACACCATTCCTTCTTGCTTTGACTGAGTCATTTTGTTTATCTGAATTAAAGGGAAGAACAAAATGATCACTTTTACTGGTCACTGGAGTCTTGTCAGGCGAGTCCAGATACATCTCTTCCATCGACCTGCTCTCCCATGGCTTTGCAGCCATCCAGCGTTCTAACATACTCCATCCCGAGCTCTTGCTTTCTCGGCTGCAGTGCTTGAGAGGAATAACTGGCTTAGAAGCTCTTGAATTTGGACTAGCACTTGGTGTGGATTTCTGAAAGCAAACAAAATTTATTGAAGCACAATTTTTTTTAGTAATCATCTAACTACTGACACTCAGAACAAATATAGTAGATCTTCTATTCCATTACCTGCTTAGATAGAGAGTATGCCTTTGTTCTATCTCTCTTAATTGCTCCTTCCTGTCTCATTTGTAATTTCGCCTTAACTTCTTCCACAGTTCCTGGAATGTCACACCACCCTTTCTGACAATGACATGAAAAATTTTGCTAAATGTTAACATTTTAACATGGCATCAAGTATCAACACTACAGAATGTTACACAATGTTGAGTCAAATTGTGAAAAAACTATGATACCTCAGCCTGCTTAACAGGATCATCTTCATTAGCATTCCCCTCTGGAGAATTCTTCGCATTCCTTGCCTTGACCCGTGCTTGAACTCGCACAAGAGCCTGCATGCACCTTAGAGTAACAGCTGCTTGCTTTCTCACTTGCCAACCGCGAAATATGGCCTGCAACCTCACCACTGCCCTCAGGGCCCTTAAAGCTCGTCTTGCCTGCAACATAAATAAGTTCAAAATAAAGAAATGGGAACAAAAAATATAAAAGCACATGGAACATACTTTTAGCATACTAATCAAACCCCCAACATAATGAATGACCAATGGAGTGGCAGATCTTTCTGTGATCAACCCCTATCTACTTAGTAATAGATATTTTCTGAAAACTATAAGCAATTAAAGATTGCATGTTGATGTCCTACACTCCTATTATGACTAAACACTAAATAGTACTGTTCCCACTTCCCATAGTACAGTAGCCCCGATAATTCCATAACCAACCATTCCAACCATAGCAAGTCAAAGTGAACTTTATAACTCAGAAAAAAGCTTATCTTTAGTAGTTCTAACTTCTAAGTTCTAACCGCTTGAAATTTCACCACGATTTTGCTCATTTCATAATAGTGAAATTAAAAAATCAAAAACACCATGCAATCTATTGGAAATTCTACAAAAGTTCATACTACGATAGCATGATTATGAGGTCCTGGTCCTAAATTGAACTTTGAATCTTGCCTAGCACTAACTCAAACATAGAATGGAGTTGGTTCTGCTTCTTAAACAATTCAACACCAGAAAATCTTAAAAACTAAAAAAACTAAACAAACTTGAACAGAGAACAAACTGCATCATGATAATGCAAAAGTTTCAATGATATTAACTGATTCAGTTAGTTTATTATTAGTTCTTAATAAATGAAATAAGATAACTAGAGAAGTGTTTAACTTACCAAGAAACCTCGAAACACTGCCTGGATTCGAATGGCAGCCCATTCCTGCTTGATCACCATGAAGTCTTTGAGTGGAGTTCTGACCACAGCAGCCATAGCAGCAGCAAATGCTCCATCATCCACCACAAAGGAAGCACCACCACCACCCTGCCCCTTCTTCATGGAGCATCCAATCCCAAACCCTTCTGAACTGCTCCTCCATAGCTTCCACTTTCTCTTACTCTTATCAACACCCTTCTCCTGAAAAATGCAGAAACATACTGAATAAACATCACAGAGCCAAACACAGCAAGAAAAAAAAAATCCCAACAAAAATTTGCAAACTTGATCAGATGGGGAGGCCTTTCTGAGAGGAATGAGCGACTTAAGCCATCTTCCTGAACCACCCATTTGAGCAAAGAACACGTTTTTGCAAAGTACGAGGTGGCAACTGCAAGTGGAGGTTGAGGTGAGTTTGAAGCTGGTGTTGCTGCTCGGCTTAATTAAGATAGAACGAGAAGACGAAAAAGAAGAAGAAGTGTTTTGAAATTTGAAATGGTTGTGAAAAAGGAAAAGTTGAAATGAACAGAGAAAAGTTCACAAACGGATACGAAGACTTTTTTGCTTTTCTGATTTTCCCATGTCCCACTCAGAGTTGACCTGTCATCAATGCCACCACTGACTACCCAGAAACGCTGTCGTTTCAACAAGGGAGCATCGCAGGCCCATCGAAGCCCATTAGATTGGAACAAAGCCCAAATGTTGATTGTGTGTTATTGGGTCATGTCTGTAGCATAATTCTGGGGCAGATGATAAACACACCTCCACTCTCGTATAAGTACACCCCCTTTTTAAAAAATATATATAAAATGTCTAAATTACCCTTAAAAAAAAAATCCTAAATTTATACCTCCTTCCCCATACCCCGGTACCCTGCACCCCCAACACCCCCACACCCCACTTTCAACAAGAGACATGCACTTAGGGGAATGTACCATCTCGACTTTGGTAGGTTTTCCAAACCCAAAATCAGTCTCATAAACAGTGAAGTTAGGTGACCCTGTAACTAGTACCGTATTTCCCAATACAGATATTTTCCTCAATAATGCCCTCCAATTTTCTGCACCTTTAAGAGGTTCAGTTTTCATATCAGTTATTGCTCTTGCAATAGCCTTCACCGCCTTCAAAAAACCACCTTCTCCCTTGAGCTCCTCTTGAGCACTGCATAACATTTTGTTAAGCAATTTCCGAAGTACGTTGCCGGTACAGGGTACTTAAAGCGATCTCTACAATCTGCTGCAAAACGAAAGTACTCCTCTTTTACCTCTTCTCCTTCTTCATCATTATCATCATCTCTATGTTTTGCTTTCACTAAGCTAACCCACACGAAAGCACACGTCACCACAAATTTATACAGGGGGGTGTGGGGTGTTGGGGCTGCGGGGAAGGGGGGTGTGGGGTGCGGGGTACCGGGAGTGCGGGGTAGGGGTATAAATTTAAGAATTTCATTTTTTTAAGGGTAATTTAGACATTTTATATATATTTTTTAAAAAAAGAGGTGTGTTTATACGAGAGTGGAGGTGTGTTTATCATCGGCCTAATTCTGGACCCTTTTAACAGAATTTTTTTTTGGTTCATGATATATACGCCTCCTTTTTTCTATAAGTACACCTCCTTTTAAAAAAAATAATTAAAATTTTAAGATATTTTTAATTTTTTGTTTTAAATTTTTTAATTTTACATTCACAACATTTAATTTAGTACTTTTTTTACACATCTTTCCTCCTTTTTTCAATTTTTACATGCACCCCCTTATTTTTTCTTCACCCCACCTATTTTGGTAACATGTAAAAATTGAAAGAGAAAAAAAAAGTGTGTGAATAAGAAGAAGAAAGTAGCAAATTGAAAGTTGAAAGTGTAAAATTAAATTTTAAAAAAAAAAATATTTTATAATTTTTTTTTAAAAAGGTGGTGTACTTATAAAAAAAGGAGGTGTATATATCATGAGCCTTTTTTTTTTCCTAAGAATCTTTAGCTATTAATAAGAGTTTTTAATCCGTTTTAAAATATAAGAATTAATTCTTATAAATTTTATCATTGGATTGTATTAGTGATGTGAGTCACCGGTATAAAAATCGTTCTTATATAAGAACTTTGAAAAATTAGTTCTTATCAATAAAAAGTACATACTCCAATAAAAATAATAAAATGAGTAATTTATAAAATAAATTAAAGGATTAAAGTTAAGTTTTTCTATTAAAATAAAAATAAAGAAAATTCTTAAATTTTAAGCAGCTCCGAATGACTCAAAATAATTCGTCTAACCTTACTTTTCTTTCTCTCTTTCTTTCTCAAATTGTTTGTTGATTTTTCATTTTAAATCCCCCTTTCATATGTAACTAGGTATAGACATAATCCACTTACATTATGGAACCACTTGGTATCTCTTAGACAAGACATAAGTGTCCCTTGGATGCTTTTTGGAGATTTCAATGAAACTTCTAACTCCTCTGAGGTTAAGGGTGGATGTTTCTCTATCACAGAGACCTTACATTTTAATGAGATGATTGAAAGTTGTCAATTGATTGACTTGGGCAATTGGTAACAAGTTTACCTGGTTGTGTTGTAGTAAAGGTGTCCGCATAACAAAAAGACTTGACAAAGTGCTTGCTGATAACAACTGGCGTATCATGTTCCCTTAAGCTTTTGTTGAAAATTTATCTCGTGTATATTCTGATAACTGTCAATTACTTATTTGTGTGAAGGGATATTTTTGAGATATTGTCCGCTTTCAGTCTAAACTCTCATGGTTTTGATTTTGGTCATCACCTAAAAAGATTCTCTTACATTGGAGTATGTGTATGCTTTATAAGTTGTTATTTTTTTCTCTTATTTTATCAATGTTGGACTTGTTTGTATCTCAACAATCCTTTCTTTTGGACCTAAGTTCTCACGATTTTATTTTTTATCATTACCCAAAAGGTCTCTCTACATTAGAATATGTATATGTTTTATAAATTGTTATTTTTCTCTTATTTTATCATGTAGGACTTATTTGTATTTTAAGAATTCTTGCTAGACTTAAAAGGAGTACAATGTGCATTCGAAAATAGAGAGACAAAGAGCTTGCGCCTGGAAAAGTCACTTCAATATGAGTATGAAGAAATTCTCCTCCAAGATGAATTTATCTAATTCCAAAAGTTTCGAGAAAATTGGGTACGATTTGGTGATAGGAATACAAAATTTTTCCACATCCAAACTATTATTCGTCTAAAAGAAATAAAATTCATGGTATTTTCATTGATGATGGTACCTGGATTTCCGATCCGGATAATCTTAGGAAGCACAAAGGTTCTTTTCCTCTCTCTTTATGGACCTAAATGTTCGCCCACGCACACAATTCCAAGTTAGATCCATTCCTCAACTCACTAAAGATGGTAAGCTATCGATTCATGCACAAATAACCAATGAGGAAGTAAGAAAAGCCATCATGAGTATGAAATCATTCCAAGCCCTAGGGGCTATGGTTTCCAACCCTTCTTTTACAAACAATTTTGGCCCATTATGGGGAAGGATTTGTGTAGCCTTGTTTGAAATGCCTTTCGGGATGGCCATGCTGATCCAAGTTTACTACAAACTTTACTGGTTTTGATCCCCAAGGTTGAACAACCAAATCACTTTAAAGATTTTCAACCTATAAGTTTGTGCAATGTTGCATACAAAGTGATCACTAAGGTTATTGTTACAAGGATCCGTCCATACTTGTCTAACTTGGTGGGCCCGTTTCAAAGTAGTTTCATTCCTGGTAGGGGAACCACTGATAAAGTTATATTGGCTTAGGAGGCCATTATATTTGTATACAAAAATCAAAAACCAAAAAAGGTATAATGGCCATTAAAATAGACCTGGAAAAGGCCTAGAATAGGTTAGTTGGCATTTTCTCCAAGAAACATTACATTTGTTTGTGTTTTCCTGCGAGCATTATCCAATTAATTATGTGGGGTGTTACAGGCTCCCCGTTATCTATTCTCTGAAATGGTTCTTGCCTTAATGGATTTATCCCCGCCTTAATGGATTTATCCCCACCATAGGCTTAAAGACAAGGAGATCCCCTTTTTCCCTTACCTGTTTATCTTGTGCATGGAACGAAACGCTTTAAAAATACATGAAATGATGGATGATCAAGAGTGGGAACCAATTACACTTTCTAGGGTGGTCCACTTCTATCACACCTATTTGCAGATGACCTCCTTTTTTGTAAAGCCTCAACAGATCAAGCTTGGAGAGTTGAGGCTTTTGGTCTTAAGATAAATCTTCATAAGTCAAAATTTATTTGCTCTAAAGGTCTTGATCCAAGAATGATTCATAATCTAGAAAACTTGCTTGGAATCAAACATTCTCGTAGTCTTGGGAAATACCTTGGCCAAAACATTATAATTGGTACAGTATCATTACGAGATTTTGAGCATGTAGTACATAAAGTGAGGAACAGGGTGGCTGCCTGGAAGGGTAAAACTCTAAACCGTGTTGGTAGATTGTGTCTCACCAAGTTTGTCATCACTTCCATGCATGTATACACAATGCAAGTGTATTAGATCCTACACATCATATGTGATAAACTAAATCAAATCAGTAAGCATTTTCTCTGGGCCAAAGATGGTGAGTCCAGATGCTGGAACATGGTTCATTGGACCAAATAACAAACCAAAAACTCATGGTGGCTTGGGAATTAGAGATGCTAGGAACACCAATACTTCTCGCCTTGGGAATCTTATTTGTAATCTTTTGCTCAAGATTGATAAACCTTGGGTTAAATTTCTCTCACATAAATATTTAGGCCCACACTCTATCATAACTCCTTTTGTTACTAAAGGGGCTTCTTACACATGGAGAAGCATCTTAAAGGCAGTCAATACTCTCCTTCCAAGATTTGAGACAAAACTTGGATCAGGTGAATCATCATCTGTCTTCTTTACTAATTGGCTTGGCATTGGGCCTTTATGTGAAGTTGTCCCCTTTGTTCACATATTTGATACTCAGTTGCAAGTTGCACACTTGTGGTAGGATAATACACGGAATCTTAATGTTCTTAGTACGACCCTCCCACAAGCTATCCAACAAAGGATCCAACGCATTACCATCCCCCGTTTTCCTATTGGATTTGATAACTTTGCATGGACTAGTATCTCTTCAGGTTGTTATACTGCTGCTTTAGCATATAATTGGCTTATAAGTAGTGACTAATACCTTTACCCAATATGGAAGAGAATTTGGCATCTACCTACCCTGAGAAATTGAGATTCTTCTGTTTGCAAATCCTCAATAATGCTCTCCCAATGAACTGTAAACGTGTACTAGTAAGGCCATTCGGCCACCTGGTTCGGCCACTCGGCCACCTGATAGCCGACACCCAATCGGCCCCTGAATGACCGAACCAGGTGGCCGAATGCCGTTCGGCTACCAGATGGCCGAGTGAACTCAGATTCCTACTAATAGAGGTAAGAATGTACCCATAATTAAGGATTAAGGGTTAAGCATACCCGTAAGCCGATTAGGAGCGTATTACCTAATCTGGTAATCTTGTTACAGGGCCCATGGAAGTCCGGGCCCATAAATGTCAGTATAAATAGCTCTTGTCACGAGGTAAGGTCACTGTTCATTAATTGCCATCGATATCTGCGCTTTGTCCTGACTTGAGCGTCGGAGTGCCTTTTGCAGGTACCTCCCCCACACCGGAATATTGGTTCGGAGCACTCGTTCGGCCCTCAGAATACGAAAGGATTATTGGTGTATCCTTTAGACAGGTACAAAACGTAAGGAATGCCATCTTTGTGATTCTACAGCTTGTTCACGCTGCTCTTCTACTATGGAGGATATTCTTCATGTTCTCAAAGATTTCCCTCATTCACGTGAACTCTAGAACAGAATAAGAATTAGCTTGGGACACCTGTTTCAACTCTAGCAATGCACTCACTTGGATTATGAAGATTCTAAACCAGAAAGAATCAACCAAGATCATTACAGTTATTTGGTGGGCTTGGAGATGGAGAAACAATATAACCTTTGAAGGAAGAAAATGGAACATATCATATCTTATTCGAAACATCTATAATCCACATACTAGTTTTGCTTTCATGTTTCAAGACCTTCAAGGTGATCCTATGGTTCATCATTGGACCCCATCTACTAGACCTAGTGTGAAGATAAATACGGATGGTAGTTTCGTTCCCCAAATTGGTCGATCGTACAGGGATTGGTGGAATTGCTCGAGATGAAGTTGGGAGATGGTTGCATGGATTCACAAATACAAGCTGAGATTTTAGTTATCCAAGATGGAGTTAATGTTGGGATACAAACAAGTCCTACATTGATAAAATAAGGCCTCTTAATCATTTAAGTATGTTTATATTATATAAGTTATTATTTATTATTTTATTTTATCGATGTGAGAATTGTTTATATTCCAACACTTGATTGGTGTTGGAATAAAGGCCTAAAGAATATTGCATGTGAGTCTGTCTGCTTTGAAGTTGCTAATTTATTAAATAATTAGGATGAAAGTATAGTTAGACATCATACGCATTGTGATCTGTTATGGGATACTAGGAATATCATGGGAAGAAATTGGAATGTTTCACTCCTTCATGTTCATAAAGAAGCCAACTCGGTGGCAAACAATTTAACAGCTTGGGGAGCTAAGAATGAGGGCATTAATAGTTGTTGGGACAATCCTCCTAATTATTTCGTCCTTGCCCATTTAGATAGAGATTCTATAACTATTTGCTAGGATTTTCTTTTCTTTTCTTTTGCTTGACTTTGTGCGAATAAAAAAATAAATTATTTAAATTAAAAATATATCATTTTATTAGTTAATTAATGTGTTAATTTTAAATATAGTTTTATTTAATTATGTTTGTGGTAGAAAATTAAAGTAACATACATATAATTCTAAATTAGAAACTCATAATATATGTGTAAATTATATTTTCAAGTATTATAAACTAACATAATTTGTCTTGGTATTAATATTTTAAAATCCTATCTTTTAGCATCTTATATACTTTATTATTGTGTGAATAAATAAATTAAAATGTAAAAAAAAATTAATACTTGTATAATTCGTAATATTTTTGTAGTAGTTAACATTAAGTTTTGTATAAATAAAATCACAAATTCAAATTTTTCTTTGCATACTAAATTTCTTTTAGAAAAAAATTATAATTTAATGTAACTAAAAACAATACGATTAAAGACATAAGATAAAAGGATCTTAAAAAATGCTCTTGCACATTTATTAATAACTCTTTTTAAGATTGATGTAATTTTTTAGAAAAATAAAATATGCATATATTTAGACGTATAAAATTGAATCATGTAAACTAATATGTATTAAAATAACAATTATGATTGTGTTGGATATTGAAAACATATCTATAATCTATAAATTTATAAATAAATAATATAAAAAGAATAACTTTTTTCTTCCTACCAAAATTTTTCTTTGACAATTCTCTCCAACGATTATTTATAGATAAGTATTATTATAAAAAAAAAAAATTTGTTGCCAAAAATTAGGTTCCATCTTGATAATCACCTTAATAATTAGGTTATATGTTATAAAAAAGAAACTATTTTTGCAAAATAAGAGAAAAAAATGGATTAAAATATTTTAATAAAAATAATTTCCAAAAAAATACTAGAAAAAAGAACTAGATAAAAATAAATATATTTATGCAAAAAGTAATAATTTTTAATTATTTCAACATATTCAACTAAATTAAAAAAGTCGAAACGTATATTAACATTGTCAACATCTTTACTTAAATAAAATCGTTATTCATTATTAAAAAATTCACAAAATAAGAGAAAAAAATTGGATAAAAATATTTTAATAATTCTTAATAATTATTAGATTTCCGCATAATCCAAACATTGTACATTATAAAATTTAATTTCACAAAATAAGCGGAAAAA